AATCAAATAACAAAAGACAAAAGATCGCACACTATTCTTGACTAAATAACTTTTGTAACTTTCATAAGTGTATTGCGTCCTTTTTCACTCCAAAAAATCACCATAATAGCTAAACAAAACACAGCACGAGAAGTGCACATTAAACTCTCTCTCAGTTGCATTATCATCAACATACAGCGAATTACACAAAACACTCATTACAACTAACAGTAAACAAATATATACAGATCTCATGCCTTTTCGGGGGGTGCTTAATAAACTGACAAACTTTAAATCCGAAGAACTGCGTGCTTTCATTACCCATATAGCTCCGTAGACTAGAAAACCCGTCAAAATAAGAGTCCCACCTTATTAAAGATGGGTTACCATACTTGGCCACATGTCACGTCACTTTCACTTTCATTAGAGTTGGAGCTAAACTCTGAAAGTTTGCCCACCCCTGCTTGGAGATTTGAATTTGTTTCGGTCCTTAACAGCATCACGTTTGACGTGCTCCGATCTGTGGTCTTCTTCTACATCAAGACCCCTCTGAGAGTGAAGGAGGCAGGGCTGGAGGAGCTCATCCCGACCACCTGGTGGCCCACACGCTTCGACAAAGAGGTCAGAAACATCCGGACACATGAGTATGAATATGAATGGCATCATTCATTCTGTAACCTGAAATGATCTCGTCAAGCGAACAGTAATCTGAACTGAGCCCTGGTTGAAGCGACAGATGAATAATTCTCCGCTGTCTCTCCTGACGTGTGTCCAGGGCAAAGATGAGAAAGACACACGCGAGGAGACGGCCGAGGAGAGGCTGAGACGGCGAGCATACGAGCGAGGAGCGAATTACACAAAACACTTATTACGACTAACAGAAAACAAATATATACAGATCTCATGCCTTTTCGTGGGGTGCTTAATAAACTGACAAACTTTAAATCCGAAGAACTGCGTGCTTTCATTACCCATATAGCTGCTCCGTAGACTAGAAAACCCGTCAAAATAAGAGTCCCGCCTTGGTACGACAGATGAGTATGAATATGAATGGCATCATTCATTCTGTAACCTGAAATGATCTCGTCAAGCGAACAGTAATCTGAACTGAGCCCTGGTTGAAGCGACAGATGAATAATTCTCCGCTGTCTCTCCTGACGTGTGTCCAGGGCAAAGATGAGAAAGACACACGCGAGGAGACGGCCGAGGAGAGGCTGAGACGGCGAGCATACGAGCGAGGCTGTCACAGACTGAAAAAGAGGATTGAGGGTATGTCACACACACACACACACACACACACACACAGACACACACACACACAATATCAGATGAGAGGGACACATGCGAGGAGACGGCCGAGGAGAGGCTGAGACGGCGAGCGTACGAGCGCGGCTGTCACAGACTGAAGAAGAGGATTGAGGGTATGTCACACACACAACATCAGATCTGCAAGCATATCTGTCACTGTGACACTCAGCTGAACCCGTGTGTGTGTGTGTGTAGTTGTGGAGGAGCTGCAGGTTCAGATCCTGAGGTTAATGCTGAACAACAAAGACAAAGGGACGGTATGTTGATACTTGTTTTCCACACATCTGCTCACACAGCTATGTTATATGTTATTGTATGAATTAAATGTATAATATGAGAATGGCTGAGAATGGCCCACTTAAACAGGAAGAGACCGTCTGATTTGCCTTTAAAGTGACTAACTGCAGTTCATTTATTTTTTACAACTCTAAATGTTGTTCATGTTAACTAAAACTATTATAAATGATTTTGATTAACCGAAATAAAGCTGAAAGAAAATAAACTATAAATATTAGATAAAAAAATTAGACAATGAAATTAGACATTGCTTTTGGAAACAAATATGAAAAAAACATGATCAAAATACTATCGATTTTGATGCCAAAATGTCAAATAAGAGAGGAAGTGACAAATATCGGCCAATAAGTGTTTGTTAAAATCGGTATCGGTATCGGCCCCAAAAAATCCTTTCGGTGCATCCCTAGTGTGAAGTGAATGAATGTAAACTTTATGAATGAAAAGAGCGCAAATCAAACACCGCATTGCTGTTGCCTCTCCGTGCACCTCTCAGAAATCAGAGCTTGGCGAGAGTAATATCACCAATAATAATACATCATACACGTTCTATTATTTGTATATATAAAAGGCAATGATTTAAACCTTAGGCTACGATATGATACGAATGAATGGAACAAGCACAGCGCACTCACCAATCAAACAGCCGCATTGCCGTCTCTGCGCGTCTCTCAAAAACCAAACCAGCTCTCTCTCAAGAGTAGGCTAATAATCATTGAGTAATTTTACTAAAACAAACTGAAATAAAATTAAATTATAAAATCAATATAAATATAAAAATATAAATTATAAATAAAATTATTATAAATAAAAAATATAGCTAAATAGAAATGTAAAAAAATCTTATAAAAATGATAAAAGCACAACAAAATGACTAAAACTTAAAATTAAAGCGAGTAGTCGAGTGATCGACTACTTCAACCACTAGTCGGCGCTGTCGGAAACAATCGACTACTCGAGCATGCATTAACCATAATGCATGCACAGAGTTTGCAAGTACGACGTGAATTTTAGGATTACAATATTGTGTGTAGCTGTTACTTTCTATGACTTTATCTATGTTGCATGTAAAATTAAAATATGTAATGTAATAATTAGGGGTGTGCCCGAAGCCGAATACCTTATTCGGAATGGCACGGATAATGGCTTCAAAAACGAATAACGGACAAGGAATAATTCTGCTGAATATATAATATTCGGCTGGGGCTGGCACAGTCTGGTGTTTGCTAGACAGTTGAGCCAGGGGATCAGCGCAATATTATACACAGACCTCTAAAATCACGCAATAGAGTGTGAAGTGAATGAATGTAAACTTTATGAATGAAAAGAGCGCAAATCAAACACCGCATTGCTGTTGCCTCTCCGTGCATCTCTCAGAAATCAGAGCTTGGCAAGAGTAATATCACCTATAATAATACATCATACACGTTCTATTATTTGTATATATTTAAAAGGCAATGATTTAAACCTTAGGCTACGATATGATACGAATGAATGGAATAACCACAGCGTGCTCACCAATCAAACAGCCGCATTGCGTGTCTCACAGTCTCTCAAAAACCAAACCAGCTCTCTCTCAAGAGTAGGCTAATAATCAACTTAGATACAGATACATTTTCTACTAGGTCTACATGTTTGTATCTTAATCTTTTGCTGGTTTGCGTGGCACACGCACATTTGTTTAGTGAAGTTCAAAAAAAGACTTTGAAGAGTTCTGCGTAATGAAAATGTGCGCCTTGAATTAATTCAGTCGTGTTCAAATGATCACTAAACGTTTGTCATGACATCTCTCTGCTTGTATGATAATTTTTTTTTGGGGAAATTATTAATGTTATATTTTAGAACACTGATTAGGGCAAATAGAAGCATTTTACAAAAATGTCAGCATTATTTAATACATTAGGAATGTTTCAGCTTAATATTATGTATAAAATGGTTAGAATTCTGGTGACTCACAGATACAGATACATTTTCTACTAGGTCTACATGTTTGTATCTTAATCTTTTGCTGGTTTGCGTGGCACACGCACATTTGTTTAGTGAAGTTCAAAAAAAGACTTTGAAGAGTTCTGCGTAATGAAAATGTGCGCCTTGAATTAATTCAGTCGTGTTCAAATGATCACTAAACGTTTGTCATGACATCTCCTTGCATGATAAATGTATTTTTAGAAATTAATAATTATTTTAGTTTAACACGGCATACTTGTTCAGTGATAACTATGGAAAAAAAAAAAGGTAGTCATAATGGTCTTATCAAGTAACTGTACGACGTTCCACCTGGTTTTATCCAAATGCAGATACGAATAATTTTGTGATTGTTACAGATACAAATACTGGCTGTTACATGACAATTAAAATATGTAATGTCATAATTATAAAGTTTTGACAATTTACGTATGTAATTGTTGCATTAGGCTATGAATTAATAAGCGTTTATTGATAAGAACTATTACAGTAGCATGAACCACGAGTATTCGAGTAACTCGAGTATTTTTTAAATAAGAAATCAACTTGCAGAAATCAGTAGTCGTGCTAATATACATATATATATACCCCTAATATATATATATTCATATTCTTGATATTTACTACCCTAACAGAAACCTTTATGGATTTTTACATTGTAACTAAGAAATAGTTTAGCACAATAGTTTTGTTAGAGGAACAGAACGAAATTTAAGTGAGACTGATTTAAGTGAAACTGGCAACAAAATCAGTGAAATTTCACAGAAAACAAGCAGAATGTTTTTGTCTTTTAAGATTCTTTTAAGGTTGGATTACAAGATTCTATGTTTCAGCCTGAGTGCCTTGTTTACCTGGCTCTCTCTTTTCACAGGGCGAAGCATCTCGATACATTTTCCTCAACAAATTCCGCAAGTAATTAAAGCTGAAAATACTCAGTAAAAGCTTATTTATACATTAATAAATACTGTAGCAGTATATAAATTATACTAACATAGCTGAAATGGAATTAAACCACAAAAACCGTGAAAACCACAAAAAATCTAGCTATTAAATTTAACTGATTTATGTAACTAATATTCTTATATAAATAAATATATTTATATATATATATATATATATATATATATATGGCTTGCAGCATACTTGTTCAGTGATAACTATGGAAAAAAAAAAAGGTAGTCATAATGGTCTTATCAAGTAACTGTACGACGTTCCACCTGGTTTTATCCAAATGCAGATACGAATAATTTTGTGATTGTTACAGATACAAATACTGGCTGTTACATGACAATTAAAATATGTAATGTCATAATTATAAAGTTTTGACAATTTACATATGTAATTGTTGCATTAGGCTATGAATTAATAAGCGTTTATTGATAAGAACTATTACAGTAGCATGAACCACGAGTATTCGAGTAACTCGAGTATTTTTTAAATAAGAAATCAACTTGCAGAAATCAGTAGTCGTGCTAATATACATATATATATACCCCTAATATATATATATTCATATTCTTGATATTTACTACCCTAACAGAAACCTTTATGGATTTTTACATTGTAACTAAGAAATAGTTTAGCACAATAGTTTTGTTAGAGGAACAGAACGAAATTTAAGTGAGACTGATTTAAGTGAAACTGGCAACAAAATCAGTGAAATTTCACAGAAAACAAGCAGAATGTTTTTGTCTTTTAAGATTCTTTTAAGGTTGGATTACAAGATTCTATGTTTCAGCCTGAGTGCCTTGTTTACCTGGCTCTCTCTTTTCACAGGGCGAAGCATCTCGATACATTTTCCTCAACAAATTCCGCAAGTTCCTTCAAGAGAACGCCAGCAATCGAGGGGTAGGACGCAGGACACGGGACACGATAACGGCTCTGTCCTCCTTTATACCTTGCATCAACGTGCTTTCCATATCTGGATACTATCTAGATATTCTTTAGCTGGATTGTGCTGTATTTATTCTTTGCTATAGAGACATTACCAAAATAAAGGATGCTAACAGGAATTAGAAAATTATATTTCAAAATGCATCTGAGAAGCTGAACTTGGAATAGAGTGAGTGATGATTTGTGGAGGAGTAGTTTAGTGGAATAATTTCCTCAGGCCATCCAAGATGAGTTTGTTTCGTCATCAGATTTGGAGAAATGTAGCATTGCATCACTTGCTCACCAGTGGATCCTCTGCAGTGAATGGGTGCCGTCAGAATGAGAGTCCAAACAGCTGATAAAAACATCACAATAATCCACAAGTAATCCACACCACTCCAGTCCACCAGTTAATGATTTGAGAAGTGAAAAACTCCGTGTTTATAAGAAACAAGATGTTTTACTTTCAAACCAAGTCCTCTATCAATAATATTGCAAAATTTGTTCTGATTAAGAAACAAACTCATCTACATCTTGAGTACGTAAATTTACAGCACATTTACATTTTTGGGTGAGCTATTCCTTTACATGTGAGAAATAGATCATAAGACCACAGTTTTTTTTTCTCGAAAGAAGAAGTAAAAGCTACAAACCCGCCACACAGCATTTGGTAAGATTTAACAGAAGTTCTTGCAATTTTAATGCCACATACAGGAAATATATTACTTAATGTGCTTTGATGACTGAAATCTTGGCTATGTTTTTTTATTAGTTCCAGTATCATATAAACTGGGAAACTGTGCTGGCAAAAAGGTGATGTAAAAACAAAAAAAAGGTTGAGGACTTTTATCATGCTCAGTGCACTCTTTCCCTGCTTACACTTCACAGAAGTAAATGAATATGGCCATTGTCTGTAACATGATTGTTGTCGATGGGATCGTTTCAGTTATTTTGCAGTGATCAGGGTTTTAATTGGAGGGTTTGATGTGTGTCTCATGCTTCGTTTGATGTGTTGTGATGTTATGTGTGTGTTTGTGTGTTCAGAACCCCACAGTGTTGTGTCCTCCTGAATACATGGTGTGTTTCATACACCGGCTCATCACGGCCATCAGGAGCTATTGGGATGAAGGCAAGAGAAAAAGCCCAGGATCCATCAGCAGTGAAGGTACACAACGCACACATTTTGTTCTTTTTATTCTGTTCGATTCAGGGTTATTATAGATTTAGTTCAAGTTTACTAAAACTAAAATCTTAAAAAAAAAATAAAAAGTTCAGATAGTTGCCATGGCAACATTTCTCATTTTTGTTTAGTTTATCTTAAAGCACTAAAACAAAATAAAACAAAATAAAAATGAATAATAATAATTATAATAATAAAATACATAGACATAAAAATGACAAACACACCAGAAAATTGCTAAAACTTTAACTAAAATTAAAGTGAAAATATAAAAATACAAAAACTATGGTAGTATATCAATGATAATAAATCAACACAGGCTCTTTTCATTTTCTTCATTATGATATCAGGACAGTTGTATCACCCTGACATATTTGACGTTATGCACCCAAAATTTTCAAAACAAATTTTAATTCAGAAATTAAAAACACACTCATTACCGAAGAGGTGCATTCAAGTAACTGAACGTATGAATTGCCTTTTTAATGGATTAGTTGTTAGCCAGGCAAGTATTGTTAACTAAAACTTGAAATGTTAAAAATATTTCTGGTAATTGAAATAAAGCTAATAAAAATAAAAAATGAAACACTTCCAATGAAAATTAAAAATCTTGCCTTGGCAAATAACTGAATAAGTTGAAGCACTAAAATTTTAATAAGTTTAAGTTGCAGCAAATAAAAATGAAATAAAAATGAATTAAACCTAAATGGTTACATTTAAAAATATATGTCAAAATACAATTCAAGTCATGAAAAATGACTAAAAATTAAGTTAAAAATTTAAATACAAAAATAAAAGCTAATTCAAAATATTTATAAAACCCAAACAGTATGTAAGTAATACTAAAAAAAGTCTGCTTATTTTTTATCAGTGAGGACATCTTTTTAACATTTTTGTTAAATATAAATCAAATAAACACAATTAAAATATTAAATTAAATATTAAGAATATTTTTGTTAATTAAAATAATTCTGAAATAATAAAAGGCAAACATTAAATGGAAAAACCTAAAGTAAATGAAAATGAGAAATGTTGCCTTGGCAACTAACGGAAAGTTAAGGCACTAAGATTATAACTGAATGTCATGTCATTGACCCATTTGTGTTTCTTTTAGACGCCTACGTCCCCCCTCAGCTCTTCTACAACGGGAAGGTGGATTACTTTGACCTTCAGCGTTTAGGAGGACTTCTCTCGCATCTGAAGAAAACGCTCAAAGGTTGGTAAAAAACACATGTAAAGTGCATTTAAAAGTTTGGTCAAATAATTACCCAGCATGCAGCGGCTCTAGACTCCACCAGAGGGAGCAGAAGGTCAGTTTGTTTTTAGTGTTACTCATACCGACAGCAGATACAGTACAGTCGATTTAAACCTCTGAAGACAATAAATAAAGCTTTCCGTTATCAGGCTTGGCAACATCAAAAGTACTTTTGTTTTTTTTTGTTCATTTTGTTTGTTTTCAAAAGCTCACTTTAATGTTCGCAGACGTAATGTTTGTTTTCTGCAGTTTTTTAATCTTCCTAGACGTAAACCGAGACGTGCAGTCTCATTCTGATGTGCCTGTTATGTTCGTTAACTCTTGAAATTTCACTATTGATCTTTTCAAAGCTGCCAGACGAATGGTTTAGATCGATCAGCCTCCCAAATTAGTTTTAATTTGAGACCGAATGCATTGTACACATCCTGCAGGGTGTTTTCTTTTGCTTTTCTTTTTTTAGTTTCTGACTTCATTATTAACCTCAAAAACATTGGTGGTCGTTACTTTGATTTGTGGCATCATTAAAATTTCTGAAATGATGGGAAAAGACGGATGCTGGCGGCGTTCAGAAAGACCGGGATGCAGATGGCTATTGATTTCCCTCAAGGCAGCGGCACATGCCACAAAAAATATTGACGAACAGCAGGGAACACGATAAGACCGAGTGAGAGAGAAGGAAGGAGGAGAAAGGAAGTGGTTGAGAGTTGTGCCTTTTATGTTTATTTTTTTTTGTGTGTGGGTTGCATTAGATGATTTTGTTCGTCTGAGGTGTTTGTCAGGAGTTTGCCTGGATTGGCTGCATTTTCCGTTTGTAAATTTCAAACTTGAATGTGGCCCAAAAAACATGAGGATCTCAATTTAGGTGTCAGACATTAAATCTAGCATAGAAACACTTAAAACAGTGATGAACAGCTGCATTTAAGTTTTAAAGTGAATACGCTTTAAATAAACTTTTAAAATAAATATTTGGCCAAAAAAAAAAAAGAAAACACGGGAATAAATCTGATTTTTTCTTTTTTACATTTATTACATT